CTTCGCGATAATTCCTTCAATGCATATACGTCAAGTTAAAATCTAACTGTTTATGTAAATTCAAAAAGAAATGACAGCAACAAGCTAAGATCTAACCACAGAAGGTGGAATTGAATCCGTCTTTTGAAAAGAGCAAACCAACACATCTTTTGAATTTCGGATCAATAGGTCGTTGTAGACAGATGCATCAAATTTTTTTTTCTATTTTAGTGTCTTGTGCATATAATTGTTCCAGAGACAATAAACGTCACAAGATAATATTAGGACTGGTTGCAGATACGGGTGGGTCAAAATAAGACACATACACACACGGCATCAAGTGGTTGGCGACCTGAAATTTTCGTCCTAGGCTATCGCACGGTGTATGAAATGAGAAGGAGACTGGAAGGTATCATAAAGAGCTACTAATTACGAACACAGCTAAAAAGGGAAGGTAGATACAAGCAGGTTGGAATCAATAATTGACAAGCTAGATGTGCGTCGTATCTGAAGCTGTGTGTGGATCCACTGTAGAGTAGACGAATCTATTTTGCTCTCAAATGACAGTCAACAAAGGCTACTCTTCTTTTTTTAAAGCTCATAACCGTTAGATTTGAGAATTTCAGAATATGCCACTGAAATTACTAATCCCATGTAGTAGACATTTCAATGGATCCAAGCTTTGAACTTATCGTTTATATGAGATTTACAAAAAGAGTCTTTTTTCAGGCTGAATGGCATACATTGCTTTAATGATATTAGTTGCTATATTATTTGGTAATACATGATAATTTTGTTGCAAAACTGTGAGTAAATTATACACATTTAACATACAACACAGACTACAACAACACTATACACAGCATTGATATTTCTAGTGTTAATAGTAGTCGATATATTCTAAGTAAAATTCGATTCGTCTTCTCATCGTCAATTACCACAAAACTACATATATACGAAGGTACAAATACATCAAATTCCTTCCTCCTCTCCTCTCCTCTCCTCACCCAAGTTAACACTCTCAAGGCTGACGATAAAAAAGCTCACTAAATAAGACGACGGAGAAGCAGACATCGTGTATAGGAAAAGCAAAGACGTAGGCCATGCCAGAGTACGTGAATAGAAAGAAAGAGATTACTACGTATCAAACAGCAAAACATCACTGATCAAGGTGCAATAATTGCCAAACAACAATAAAGAGAAGGAAAGGGAAAGGAAATGGGAAAAAGTTGCTAATGAGGATCATCGAGTGTAAGATTAAGAGGTTTTTAAAGCTGAATAATTACAAAGAAGTGCAAAATGAGAAACAAAATACAGCAAGTGGTTCAACAAGTGATTCAATTAATCCATCATATTTTCATGAAAATCACACTGGTGAAGACTCTGCTCACATTTATCAGAAAAGATGCATGCAAGAAGATTTTGCAAATTTAAAAATGCTGGATTCTGAGGGAGCCTAATGAAGAGTTTCAGCGGTTTGTGTCTACGTCCGATATCAACTCAACACCTTAACTAGTCTATTATTTGCTTATTAGTATTATATCCTTTGTCTAGTCTCAAGTAATGTATACACAATTTCTCTGTATTGCGGAAGGTCCCGTTTATAAGAGGCAGCAATTTGGGTTTATGAATACAACAGCTTTGAACACCCTCGTTTATAGCTCCGTTCCTTTTACAGCTAATAATGTGTGTGGTTTTTGGGATCATAATCGGCACAAACAGCAAACAGGATTAAAATATCGCAAACATCGGCCGAACAAAATATTGTCAGCCGAGTAAAGGGCCGAGCGTTATAGGTAGTTGAATCTGTCTTGTTTGAACAAACAAATGCGTCCCGAATAAGCTAGTTGATTCTGTAGGCTTGATACATTAGATGCCGGAGGAACCAAGAAGTTGTACAACACTGAAGTAGCATTTGTGTTGAAGCAAGGGCCTTTGCCCTGTTTCGGCGTCGTTATTCTCTTTCGAAACTTAATTCCGGTCTTTTCTTCATTTTGTGTAACGATGGCCGGCATTTGTTTTTTTGTTTTTATTTTTAATTTCACCCAAACAAAAAAGAGAAAAAAAAAGCAATCGAAGTTGAATCCGTTTTAGCCAATGGGCTTGGTGGCGAAAAAAATAATCATGATCAGGGCAGTTTACCGAAGGTGGCAAAACAAAGGTGAATGATGATTTCAAATTAGATAGCAAGATTTTTCCCTTGTGGCGGGCGGATAAAGTGGATGGGCGAAGTCAACACTCACACGAATGACGCGTTAATGCTCTTTGTTTTTTTCTTTTTTATTCTTATAGAAGTGTCGCCATTAGTGTCTGATTGTCACGCATTGTCGCAAAATAATGATTACACACTAAAAGTCGTGACACTGGTGATCTTCATTTGATGACACAACATTGTTTCAGTGTGTGAAGCTTTCTTCTTTTTTTCTCAATTCAGATTTACACCCCCACCAAACCAAACCTCCCCACCCCTGGATTTTACGTCTTTGGATTTCTTTTGACATACACTTTGCTGTATTACTCCTTACTTTTCAAAAGAAGAGGTGGAAGGTTGCTTGCACACGCTTAAACTACTAAACATATTTTGTGGATATAGTGTACAACTATGTGAAACAGGGCGGGCCGTTTCACAAATCTTACCAATTGCGAAATTCTGTTTGGTTCAGAAGGGTGAATAGAGGAGAGGGGCAATAAAAATAAAACAAAGGACTATAAAAAACCCGGTAATGTTTATTTTATTCTTTTATTTCTATTATTATCGAATAACTTTTTTGTTTACATATCAACAGTTAAAATGTCGTCTCAACCAGAAAAGAAGAAAATTTATGTGACAACAAAAACGTACAATATTTTTGAATGGCGTTTATTTCGTACGAGAGTCTCATTCAAGTGTTAGAGTCTAGATAATCGGTAGATTACGTAGATGAGACTGCATCCAACAAAGCAACTCTTTTTAGCGATGATCAGCCTTTCTGGTATAGAAGCTGCTTTTCATCTACATTAGCTGCTAAAATGTCGACATTCTTACATAAACACTATTGCATAGTAATTAAAGACCAAAAAGAAGAATAAAATAAAATAAAATAAAATATAATAAAACCGAAATAAAAAGTGAAATAACAAATATTACACAAAGGAGTAAAGAAGAATGTAAGTCAGCAAAGTGAGGGAAAAATGTAGAGTGGGGTATTTCTGTCGTAAACCCTCCAATGATTCCTCAACCTTATTGTCGACAGTCATGCAGTGGGAAGAGGAGTTTTTTGCCACCGCCACTTTCCTCGAATACGACTACAAAATGAGTACTCACAATCGATCGATTGCTAATAAAAGAGTAAGCACTGCGGAATTGACTAGAATGTACTAGAATTGGCTAGTAATGTCTTGACTATGACATCACAGGCTTACACAATGATTGCCATACTGGATAAGCTTCTTTTAGTAAAGCTAGACTTTTGCTATCTTACTATGTATAGCTCCTTTTGGTGACGATTGATGAAGTGCGTTACTACTTTGTTCAATTGGAAAATGTTTTATAGTAAAGTGCGTAGAGAGAAAATGTATTAATTTAACCTAAAATCGTAACTAATTACTAAAACTAAAAAGAGAACAATAAAAGGCAGAATGAAGAGAGGCAAAAAAAAATCAATGTCGTAATACAAGAAAAGTGTCGTAACAAATCTTCATCTGAAATTTTGCTAAAGTCTAAAAAGATACCCAACAAAAATGTAGCTTCTCTGTCTCTCACAGTGCCAATAGTTGCTATAAGTAATGTAAGAGCAATAACGTAATATGGTTTAATCAAGATGGTGAAAGTCAATGCAAAGTGCAATTTATGTCTGTACATTAAAAGATGTCACATGACATGCATTGGTTAGCGCACTAAGTTGGCTACAGTATTGGTGTCACCAATTTTTGTGTTGCAAAGAAAGTTTACCTCCTGCGGGTTTTTCCAGGTTATGGAAATGTGTACGGCACAAGTAGGCCAAAATCTAGTGGCGAAATAAAAAAAAATATCATCGTACGTGGTGGTTGCTCTGCAAAAGGTTTAAGCAATTGTAAAGCCTTAAAGTAAACGGTAGAAAGAACGATGCTTTGACAAAAGAATCAATGTCAGTTACATTCCTTTGTTTAAGCTAATGTTTCTGACGAGCTTGTAAGAGTATTAAAGCTAGAGTAAGAAGAATTACATTAGTTCATTAGTCATTGCGCTTTCGTTGCGGTATTTGCGTTATGGATTTAACGTATTAGTAATTGGTGGCGATTCTATATCACCAGAGAAGATGTCATACAAAATATGAATCATTGCGTGGTTGCAGAGTAAAGTGATGACGATGATGCAGATAATTTCTTTTTTTTCTTTCTTCTTCTCTTACCACAACTCTATGCATGATTTATTTTTTTGGTGTTACACTTGTCCTTTTTCCTTCTTATTAGCAAACGGGTAAGTATGGCAAACGGAACAAAGAGAAAAATTATATAGACGGGGAGAGAAGTACATTAATGTTGTACTGGAAGGAGATAACACAAAGATCCAAACTGATCATTAGAAAAAGAAAAAGAAGAAAAAAGAAAAAAAAGAAATATATAACCACCGACTTTTTCAGAGAGAGACATTTTTTTATTTAAGCCAAACACAGGAGAAAAAAAAGTAATCAGACAACCTTAGAGAGACAAACATTATAAACACCAAACCACCAAACCACCAAACCAACAACAACAATTCAGGCAAAAAAAAGAAAAACATAAAAAAAGAAAAAAAATTAAATTAAATTCTTTTTTTTTTTTTTTCCTTTTCTCAGTCCTTTTAAAACATCGTCTTTTTTTTTCAACATTTAATTATCTCATAATTTCATATTACATATTTCATCTTTCCATCTTTCCATCTTTCCATCTTTCCATCTTTCCATCTTTTATCTTTCATATTTCACCATCATTTACACCACAACACAACCAAATAATCAAACAATAAAGTAGCAACTTATTCACCATCAACAGAGGAAATAGCATAAAGCAAAGTGTATATCATGTACTCAGAAGATAACCAACAACAGCAGCAACCACAACAACACCAAGGGCAACAGGGGCAACAAGGCCTGCAACAACTGCAACAATCATCACACCACCACCACAACCGCCATCATCATCACCACCACCACCGTCTGCATCGCCACCAACAACAACAGCTGCCACAACTGCAACACCATGGCAGTATCACATCAGCACCAACAATAGCTACTCCTACAGCCTTGTCACCTTTTACCACATCATCTGCTCCAACAATAGGACACGCATCGTCAATACCAGAAGAACAAGCTCAATTCAGACAAGTGTGCTTCAACCCAGTCAACCCATCGGGCCCCATACCATCAGCTGCAGAAGCTGCAAGTGCAACCACGTCTGGTAACAATTTTCACACAACTGCACCAATGATGCCCAACTCACCACCATCAACCCCTTTCGCACCTGAACAGAAGAAACAGGAACCAGCTTCTGGTTCAAATAGTCAAAAGAGACTATCATCGTCGTCGTCTGATTCTAGCAAACGCCTAAGACTTGAAAATGGACATCACGCTACCAGTACTCCAACAGGTGATACCAGTAACACAACACATACATCTAAACCAACAACCGCTATTTCTACAACACCAGCATCTGGCACTGCAATTGCCAAGACCCCCAAGTTCATACGCAAGTTTAGGTCGAGATCGTTACCTATCATCAACTATAATAACCCCAACTCAGCATTCTTTCCTCATTACCGCAAAAAGCATAATAATGTATTTTTACATGCCAATAATACTTCCACAACTGCAGTTACTGAAGATAACACACCAATGTCGACGGCGACGACGACGACCACATCATCATCGGTTCCACCATTACCACCCATCAATCTTCAATCATTAAAAGAGATTGACTTGCATGAAATCCTTAAAAACCCACAATTACGACACGATATACTCTTTGACCCTCAATTACAATTCAGACCCAACTTGGATGGGGAAAGAGGTAAACGGAAAAAGTCTATAATTGACAAGTATTGGATGGAAATTCAAAAAGAATGCCAACAATTTTTTGTACCCAACCTTGATCCAAAAACCATCAAGATTTCCCGTTTACCAATCTTGTTTACAACTTTGAGAGATATATTGTTGTCGTTGTTGCCGACTAAGGATCGTCAGCAAGTTTCCGAGATTATGGATATCGACTTGTTGGTACAGCAATTGCGTCATGGGAGTTTTGATTTTGTAGAGATGAGCAAATGGTTGGGTGACGTTTTCAAACTGCACTGTGCACCAATGAGGGATCAGTGGGTACTGGAAATGAGTGCCAAGTTTATCGATGCAGCTACATATAATAGTGTTGGCTTCCTTGTTGGTGGATTGAGAATGATTTTCCAAATTTTGGAGGCAATGAAATTGGATGTGGCAAATCACCAAATCAGGATACTAAGACCAGTATTGATTGAAACAGCAGTCGATTTCGAACGGGACTATTTCCAAACTTTAATCAACCACCAAAAGATCAACATTAATGATTCATTAAACTGGTTTTACAAGAAGTTTGTGAAAAAGACCACCGACGTCGATTATAGCGATTTACAAGTGAATGAAGCCACATTAAAGCCAATTGTTATCAGCTCAATTATCGACTTGTTATCTTGCCGTCAAATGGCCACCGAGTTCCCTTCAACGTTGACTTTTGATCATACGAGATTAGTTCTTTTACGAGCTGATGTACGTCAATTAGTTTGTGTCCAATTGTGTGTCGTTTTGTACAAGCAATTGGTTGTCAATGCTAGGGCCAGCACCCAATTGTTATCACCAGCAAACATCACCAAAGTGCAACAAGAGGTGTTGGCAATTGTCACCGACGACAATGGAAACATCAAATGGACCAAAAACATCCAATCAATTGCATTGCAATTGGTTAAAAACGTTGTGCCAAAGGAAACCAAAGAGTTGCCCCGCAATTTGGTCGAATTCAGCCATAACTGGTTGGTCAAACACATTCAACCAAATTCAGAGGTTTATGGTTTAATGGAGATGAAAATTTTCAGGGAATTGTTGGCCGAGATTATGGTTCTTGCATCTTCATCCGAGGACAAGGGAGCAGCAACTGAACCTTCAGCAAATAATGAAATGAAAAACATTGCTCAAAGGATAGCTACATTGGTCAACTTCCACTGGAGCGTGTTTGGGTCGTACTACTTGGAGCACATCCAATCACAGTACCCCAAATTGCAATTGAGGCAGCAGGAGGAGAAGAGGCGGATGGAAGAAGCAGCTGCAGCTGCGGCAAAGACTCAAGATGGTGACACCGTCATGTCTATTGTTGACGATAGTACGGCCACAACAAATACCCCCTCAGGCACACAACAGCACCAGACGAGGACTCCAGAGCACCGTAATGGAAGCGCCAGCACTGGATCTGCCACTGCCAGTAATGGCGACAACAACTTGGACAACAATAATAACAAATCTGCGCCATTGAGCATGTTGTCTTAGGAGGATATGTCTTATGAGTTTGCGTTTTCTATTTTTATATTTTATTTCATAGAAAGTTTTTAGTTTAGGGTTTTAAAGAATTTGAGAGTCGATTGAATCTGTAGAAAGTTTTTGGTGCGCAAAAAATAAAGCAATAAACCATCATTCAACACTATTCCCAATGAGTACACTCACCTCAGTGGTCACGGTGGTTACATTACCATTTATCGTTACATTCAATTGCATCTACTTTCTAGCCTCAAACATATTATTACAGCCACTAGGGTACCTATCCTCAATATGTATCTATACCCCGCTTATCAAGATTCCCTTTATTCTCCCAGCACGGTACTTCCTAGAATTAGACAAGAATGACCAAGTACACTTGATACCATCGTTGACTCGTGTCAAGCACCGAGCAAGTGTGTTTGTACGTGCATTGCTGGTAGCATATTCAGTGGTGTTTGGAAATAGAGGCATGAATCAGGACCAAATTGAGCGGCTTATTGCTCAACTAACATTGTTTTTCACAACAACTTTCCATTTCATAATGACAGCCATCTATATTGGGTTACTAGCAGGTGTGATATTGGGTACTGTTTTTTCATTCATTTCATGGTTTTTCACATTGAGTGCTGAGACGGAAGCCAACATAACGATTGGTTTGCAAAACAAGGTTAATCAAGTGACAAGGTTTGTGCCTAGTAAGAGTACATTTTCTCGTTTAAAATTTAGATTATGGAGTGGAAGATCAAAGAATGCAGCAGTTCCGCCTTTGGATAACTCTGGTTTTGTTTCACCGTCATCTGGGTTTAATGCGCCGGACTTGTATCCTAAAGTTAAACTGGAGGGCCCGTTTTATCAACCTTATCTGGCGAGATTTGATGATTATGATGATTATGATGAACAACAAGCGTATCTTAGCCAGGAATTTCAAAATAAGGGTGCCGCAAGTGGCCCATTTATCAAGCAAGAAGTTAAACCGATAAATGAAATGGAACTGATTATCGAGGAGGAGTCGAATGGAAGTGATGGCACTGAAATTATTGACTATCAAAGTGATGCAAATGCAAGTGAGGCTGACACTGTTGAATCAAGCGAGGATGTGGGTGTCTACCCGACACCTGACACTGATCATGAACTCCATACTGATAGAAGTGGTTTAAGACAAAGATTAAGACAAGAAAGATTACACAAGACAGCCACGCCCAGCGATAGTGATGATAATACCAGTGCAATCCCTAGCTATAGTGAAGGCAAGTCTGTTGGCAATGACAACAGCAGTGATGCCGATATTGAAGAAGAAGCCAGTGGTGGTGAGAGTAGCAGTGCTGCTAATACTACAGATGCAAGTGAGGGGGACACCAGTGAAGATGCAAGTGAAGCAGCAAATGAGGAAGCGAGCGTCACAAACGTGACACATGTCAGTGGTGATGATTTTATTAAAAATTATCAGATTGATGAGCCAGTTATTGATCTGTTGAATGAACTGGAGTCGTAGAGATATCAGGGAGTTTATATGTTAGATAATCATTAGACCAATTGGTCTCTACTTTGCCAGAGCAGAACAAATGGAAGTGCAAACTTGGATCCTCTCTCGCACCCACTTTCTATAAAGTAAAACAAAAAGGACAACTACCAAGCTATGGCGCCTTTCACGAACTGAGCTTGTTAGTGAATGTTTCAAAATCGCTTTTGTGCGTGTCGCATCATTCCATTTTTGTTCACAAACTTTGACAATCAAGACAATTGATGTAATTTCTTACATCCTTTCGAGTTGCATGATATACGCTAGGCACCATTTAATTTCAAGTCGCTTGAATAGATCAGACCACACGCGCCTTTAAGTGCACCGACGGCGCTTAATTGCACAACCTTGTTTTTGCTATGGCACACGAGGTGACTACAAAGTCCACCGTGCAGCATGATCCAGACGATGATCGGTATACAAAAATAGTCACATTTGTGGATGAGGATCAGAAAGGTGTGTGTATACCTTTTCTATTGAAGGGGGGTACATCGGAGAATGGACATCACTCGGATCGGTGTGAAAGCCCACTACAGCGTGTCAAAGACGCATCTCCACACACGTCAACACCACTTTTGGAATCAACAAAAAAGTGGGCTCACGACACGCTGGTGGAGGAGCTGCTGAATTGTCATGGAAAAAATGTCTTCCGCACATGGCCAACCCCAGAATCATCGTCCACAATGGCTGCATTTATTTCGCGTAGTCCACTTGAGCGACAAGACAACGACAAAGGAGCAATGGCACAATTGGGACAGCACATGGCTGAGCTATTGCATGAATTGGGATTTGTTATCGAGGCTGCAGCGACAGCTCCACAACAGCCACTTGAGCCAGAACCCAAGAATAAGAGAAGGCGAGACAGTGACGATGAGGAAACCCAAGAATAAGAGAAGGCGAGACAGTGACGATGAGGAAACCCAAGAATAAGAGAAGGCGAGACAGTGACGATGAGGAAACCCAAGAATCAAGGACGTACAATTGTGAGCTTGAGTTTGAAGTCACAACTGGGGGTGTGGATGCTGCAGACCAAACTAGAGATGACTCTGTGGATAGCAACGGTTCCGACAAAGAGTACGAGCCAGCAAACGAGTTTACCGTGAGTTTACGTCTCGTCTACGTAATCAAGCCGGAGATCAGTCTAGTCGACATACCCATAAACATGTACATTACTAAGTCAGAGTTGATCAAATACTTGATGGATCGATTAGTGCTACGACGGAGTGAGGACGCAGCAGCCACTGATTTGTACTCAATACAGTCCAAGATCAAGAAGTTGTTGAGCTTGGTTGGTGTTCGATGCTGTATTGATGGATGTGAGTTGGACTTGTATAGAGGAGATGGATTTTAATCTAGGTCTCTTGTATTG